GCTGCCAACGATGATCATTTTTAAGCAGCTGACTATGGAAATAATTTCATATATCTTTTCCCATGTATATGATTTGCATTATTCTATTTAAAGCCGAGCGGGCTGCAGTATTTCTCCTCGTAATTACGCAAATGCGCATCAAGATCTCTCTTTGTCTGGCTTCTTATGTGTTTCAGCGTAATTTCGTTATGCAAATGCATTTATCATGCTCATAAAAATATGGAGATTTTAACCTGAAGAAATTTTGCGTTTTTTTTCTGCGGGGGTTTAGCGGGGGACCACGTCAGCGGCCTCACCCGGAGGCTCCCGGCGGCAGGGACGCAGAAGCAAACCCCCACCTACTCATTGGCCAGCAGTTTATAGTACGGTGCGGCGCATATAATTACAAAATTGATTTTTCTTCATAAATCTGAGCATGCGGCTCTTAATCAGGTGCGGTCTGTAGCCCGGAATTTACGGTATATAAGCTTAATATTTTGTTCTGAACTCTGCCACCGTGAAACAAAACTTGGAGGGCAAAGGCACGGTTAATGCAAATATAACACAACAGCACAATTTCTTGGACCCTTTTATTCATTCCGTGTATGGTGTGAAAGCCAGCACACCAAAAACAAACTTCACATCAAAAGCGCATCAAATTTTATACTGAAGAGCGTCTACAGCAGATTTCTGCGACATTATGATTTTTTTGCAGAATTTTATGTTTTGCAAATTTCCATTGTTCACGAGTGAAAATCAAAATGATGACACTTATGGAAGATTGGTTTTGCAAATAGTAATGTTATTTATCCTCTCAGAGGAACACCTTGAGTATGTTTTCTCTTTTTTTTTTGCAGACGAGATGGAACCTCAGGTCCTGAAAGAGTCCAAGGCAGAGGAGCAAATAGAGACCTTCATCGCATTTGCCAGGGTATACAGCGGGGTCGTGAAGAAAGGACAAAGAATATTTATCCTCGCACCAAAGTATGATCCTGCCCAGGGCCTGAGCATGGTAAACAAAATATTCGTACAAAAGCAGTAATAATGGTCAAGAAAAAAGGAAAAACAACCAATGCAGTGTTTCTTGAATTGTTGAAAAATAAATTCTTGTTCATGCTGAAAAAAAATGTAATCTGAAAATTGAAATATTGTTTTTATCATCTTCCAACAATGGGTAAACAGACTGGTTCACAGGTTATGTATTGTATTGTGTCATGGTTACTTACTTCAGTGGTGCGAAACACTGGCTGGCCTAAGGATTTTTAGTAGTTGCGCAGCTCTATTCCACTTTGAAATATCTCGGGAATTGTTTTTTTTTTTTTTTTTTTGGACACAAACTGGCTTACCTTCGGTCTCTTCAGTTGCACACATCGAGCCTGGCAAAAAATATATGCATTATTCTTCTTATTATTATCATTGAAGTGTTTGTGTGCAAATGCACTGTGCAAAAACAAAAGAAAAGGCTCACTGACGACCCTAACGAATATTTAACAAAGCGGCTCTATTCATCACCTGAGTCTATGAAAATTGGGAGCCACAAAACCTCAAATAACGTCTCTTGGAGCCATACCCCGAACCTACCAGGAAGTCCGTTACTTTCACTTTCTTTTCAAAATGTGTCTCATTTTTTTACCTTTTAAAGAGGCCATACTTTATGGAACTCCTCAACGAAATTCAAATCTGATGTATGTCAAACTTTGGCTGGTTCATCTAAAGTTAGTGAAAATGAAGTTACAGAAAGCGTTTCACTTCATCAAACGCTGTCGTCATTGCGACACAAAAGAAAGTTGTTTTTGAATGTCTAAAAATGCACAAAAAACCGATGAAATTCTCAAGAGGTTTTCGCTTCAAAAAGTGTTGAAAAGAATGGTGTTTCTTCGGTAGTTCTGAATCAAGGGACAAGTAATTTTGTTGTCAAGCTATTGTGCCATTTAAAAAAAAAAAAAAGAAATTCCATTGTGCTAGCCCCGAATGTGTCGGTATCCCAATGTGCCAATACCTCAAAGTGGCCTGGGATGCAACTCTTAGCTCCTTGCAGCTCTAGTTAAATCTGTAATGTCATTTTGTTGACCAATAACAACAAGACTCAATGTGTTTTAAAAAATAAAACCAATGCTAAAATGTCTCCTCTTGTTGTCGACCAAAGTGAGACGTGACGAAATGTCCCAAATTTCACGAAACGTCGTGTGTTAATAGTTTCCTGGGTCCCGACGTCTTTTGCTCAATCCCGACTCGCTGTATTTGGATCAGAAGAATCCACTGGGGTAGAACTTGGTTCGCACAATTGAACACTGAGAAAGGGACCGGCCAGCTGAGGATTGTCTTTGGAGAAGAAACCAAATTTGGATCCATTTTTGTGACATCGACGTGGAAAAGAAAACTGTGTCATGAGAAAACTAAAGACGCAGGAACGCAGTCACAAAATCACAGGGAAAAAAAAAAAACAAAATAACCTGAAGAGACATATTAAAGCAAGTGTTTTTGCTTGACAACTCATGTTTGTGTACTTGTTCCTTCTCTTGTGCCTTCCAGCTGCCTGAGCAATGCAGTCCTTCTGACAGTTTACCTGAGGTGCCTCATCTGTCCTGTTGTTTCATTGAAAACATTTACCTGCTCATGGGCAGAGAACTGGAAGAGCTAGAAGAGGTGCCCTCTGGCAATGTGCTAGGTACAGTAGACAAGTATATTACTTTTTATCACCTGTTTAATGATGCGAGTACAAAACATTGCAAACAACACAATGATCGTATTTATATTTATGTAACAAACAAGTGCAATGAAAGGAGAATCAAACTGTTTGTTTACATGGACAGCAATGGAAATGAACCCTTTGAGGGACAGCGGCTATGACAGTGGACAGTTTGTGTTATCAGGTTACAGGGTGCATGAAAGGGTTAAATTAAACTGTCCTACAAGATTGCTAGACTTGTCTTGATAGGATCACATGACCGAAAATGATTAGATGAAGATTTATTTGTTCGATTTTCTTCATTCGAAAGGGGAAGTCAAGTCAAAAATTTTCTTTACAGTATGATCTATTCATATTCACGAATCGAAATGCGTTGTTCTGATTAATGTTACATTTATGGAAGGTAAATTAAGCAGCAAAACCGTCCATCTTATCCATCTCAGGAGTTGGCCAATTTACCACTTGCTGTTGACTGAAAATGCCAGGCACTTGGACACTGTGATGTCTCTCTGTCCCCTCTTTTCTTCTTTTCTGTCACTCCTCACTGAAACCTTGTTCTGTCCAAGAGAAAATTTCAATAAATCCCCATCATAATGCAAAAGGCCACAGTGGCAATATAAAATAAAAAATTCACCGTTGCACACAAAAACTGTTCCGACATAAAAGGGATACAGATCCTCCTTTCCGGCCACCCGGTGATCCAGTGGTTAGCGCATCGACCTCACTGTGCAGAGGTATCTGGTTCAATTCCAGCTCCAGCCTCCCTGTGTGGAGTTTGCATATTCTCCCCGGGCCTGCATGGGTTTTCTCCGGGTACTCCGGTTTCCTCCCACGTTCCAAAAACATGCTTGGCAGGTTAATGGAACACTCTAAAGTCGAAATTGTCCCTAGGTGTGAATGTGAGCATGGCTGGTTGTTCGTCTCTCTGTGCCCTGCGATTGGCTGGCAACGGGTTTAGGGTGTCCCCCGCCAACTGCCCGAAGTTAGCTGGGATAGGTTCCAGCACCCCATGCGACCCTTGTGAGGATAAAGCGGATCAGAAAATGGATGGATGGATAATATGAAAGTATTTTTTACTCTACAGTTGCTTGCATGTTACTTATACTTTCTCTTGGATGTCTCAGGAGATGATTCAACACCAACAGCAACACCGGAATGATTGTCACTCGCTGTAATTACTGTCAAACGTTTTACTCTCAAACCATGGCTGGCGGAATGTGATGTACAGCAGAGCACTAAATTCCAAGATAACCCAGTCAAGTCTCATGATTAGACAGAAATGAGGAAGTATGAATCGGAAAGAAATCTTTATGCTCTGCATCTGCCAAGAATTGGTTTCCATCCAGTAATGTAATCACTTTGTTGACAATTTTGTGGGGCATATGATTAAGAGATTTTGCGTGGCATGTATGAGAAGAGAGTCCTTCCCATTATCTTCACAACAGAACTTTGTGACAATTGTGATAGCAGATTCGTCATCGGTGCAAATTTTTTTTTCTCCGTATTTATTTTTTAAAAATGTCTTTGTTTATACATTAACCCCATGCTTTTACAGGTATTAAAGGTCTCGAAGATGTTATTTTGAAGTCAGCTACAATTTCCACGACTCCTGCTTGCCCACCCTTCACCCCACTCAACTTTGAGGCATCCCCCATTGTACGAGTCGCCATAGAACCAAAACACCCAAGTACGTATGTTAAATTCGTGTGGTCTTAAAAAAAAATGTGTGTGTGTGTGTGTGTGTGTGTGTGTGTGTGCGCGCGCGCGCGTGTGCGTTTGTATATATATATATATATATATATATATATAAAACTCTACAACGAAATCATGTTTGCAGGGAGACATTTTTCACAACAGGGGGTTTTTCACTGTAGCAAATTTGATCTCAGATGTAAGCACACACACACACACACACACACACACACACAAACAAACGTATGTGTACACGCACACACAAACGTATGTGTACTCTATTTTTATTCCAATAGTGCATAAGTATGAGCACACACTTATTTGACACTTCATATTGTCGGTGTAGAAAGAAAAAAAGGGAAAGAAATTGCGAAATTTACAATCAGCATTCACTTTCACTTACATCAATTTCTTGGATAATGTCTTTGATTTCGCTTGCTCCGTCTTTCATTTTGATTACTTTTACCCTCTCTTCCAGCATCAAAGCTCGTCTTGTCTTAGCTGCTTGACATCCAAAGGTCCGTTTTGTAGCCATTTTAGCAATGCAACGTCCATGATCGTCTGAATCTAACAACAACAAATACTTCCTGGACCCGGTGGCTTTTCTTTCCACCATCTCACTGTCTCTAACTCGACCGTCTCTAACTCGACCCAAGACAGCGTTGCTCAGCTGATGTCATGCAATGAACTTTTAAGCCAGCCACAGGGCGCTTCGTAGTCCTCGATGGCCATAGTTAGCTCTCGAAGGCTAAAAACCTTACGCTAACTGGAGCGCTTCTCTCTCATTCGGGCTCCAGTTAGCATAAGGTTTTTAGCATGATAACAAGTAAAGCATTCGAGGAAACGTTCGTTTATTTGAATGTCTGTCGAGCCATAAGCAATTTACTCTTGAGCAGCTAATCGGATGCATTCCACTCTATCTTCTACGGACCTAACTTCAGTATCTACACACATAGACAGTGAGGTCCCTCTTGGCCAATCGGAGGCCAAGATGATGCTCGGTAAGCCAATGGCAGAGCAGCTATGAGTATGTTGGGTTCAGGAAACTTGCAGCTGTGACGAATTTTTCGTCGTATGGGGGCCAGGAGAATGGAGTAGATTTCATTCTAGAGGAGTTTCACTGTATACATACTTCGAAACCCACAGTCACGGTTGACCACGAAACAACTAGTAGCTCAGTGTTCCAACATCCACAAACGGCAATTGCTGTCACAACTTGAGATTGACGAGGTACAACGCAGGGTCCACGGTGAAGGACCCCAGGCTGCCAGATCAGAGGAGGATGTCATACCAGAGATTGGGAGGCAAGCCCCAATGAATGCAGATGATGAGATTGG